ACTCTGTGGAAATAGCAGCGTATGGACGATATTTAAGCTTTCTAACATCACAGCACCTCTGGCCATGCCTGAAGGGTTTATGACATCATTAACCCAGATGTATTTTTTTGTGTTCCCAAAACTTGGTTGGCTGTAGGCTCACTTTGCATTGCATTGAGTGTATTCATTCAGAGATGTTGTTTATGTTCACACAGCTACATTACACATGAACTAAAGTGTAACATTTGATAGTGGAACCCTCTTTAATATTTAACTTTTTAAAAATTATTTTAGTAATGCAGTATAGATGGTATTTGTCACTTTTTTTGTCACTTTTTTCTGTTCATGTTAAGTTTTCATTTATTAAAGATCTAAAGCTAAAGGCCTCCAACCCAACTCAAAGTGTTGTAGAGAAAACCTGCCAGTAATTGGCATCATATCTGTTGATCCTAGTTTTAAAACAAGTCTTTGTTCCCTGCAGTGCGATAGATCACATCACAGACTACCTAAAGCCCTAAAGCATGTAACAGTGCTTCAGGAGAGTTCACTGAGAGTGTTCCCACGTTGTGCTGCTACCAAATGATTTGAAAAGTTTATCACGAGTTCACGGTGGCCTTGGGTCATGGAACAGTTGTACAGAAGAGCCTATTCAATAGACTTTCAATACTTGCTCTGTCTCAGTTTTGTATAATTAACAGTCATTTATTTGTTAAATATTCTTATCAGTGCTCCTCCTGACTTGAAATGTTTTTTTTTTTAATGTATTTTGAACTTTCACATCTATTTATATACACAAAAAATCACAATTAAACTACTTTGTTGTATTTATAGGTGAGAAGTTCTTTAACATTGATAGCGGCCGCAGCGCCCTTCTCCACTCCCAACCATCCGAACATTACACCATCATTTTCAACGTCTTCGTAATGATGCAGCTCTTCAATGAAATCAATGCCCGCAAAATCCATGGAGAGAGGAATGTGTTTGAGGGAATCTACCGGAACCCCATTTTCTGCAGCGTCGTACTGGGAACATTTGCTCTGCAGGTAACAAATAAAACAGAATGGGTATTACTTGCTCTAAAATCTGATTGATGGAATTGTAGTCTACACAATGCAATGCAAAAGCAGTGCTTCTCAAACCAATTGAGTAACAATTGCCTTATTTATTTATTTATTTATTTATTTATTTATTTATTTATTTATTTATTTATTTATTTATTTATTTATATTTATCTTTGTCCTTTTTTGCCTTTTTTGTTCTTTATTCCCTCACTGTCAGAGGCTTTTTCTCAAAAATGACCTTTCCAAACTAAAACAGTAACAGTTGCTGAATAATTTGGTCTACATTCACAGTTCTTGTATCTTTGGGATTTAACTTTGGGCTTTATTATCTATCATCTAAAGCAGAGATGCTTAAAGTAGGGCCCACGGGCCAAAGTTGGCCCTTTGTAACGTTTGATTTGGCCCACTCTTCCATCTGAGAGGAGAAGCGTTGGAGAGCGTTGGGGCGAATGCCTTTGACACAGAAATCGTCATTTATAATTTGATGTAACCTTTTTTTGTTTGTTTTATTGCTTTTTAATATTGTACTTAGAGCAAACTGAAATTAAGCCTTTCAATTAAATGCTGTAAATGAATCTTATTTTATTTTAAAATGCTAATACTGTCACTCAACAAATCAAGGCAAAGACTAGGTTTAAATCTGTTATAAACGAGATTTACTGTAATAAATTCAATATAAAATGTTAAATAATACTGTATTAGGTAAAATAAGGCAATGTTTTTTAGTCATTCTTGAATATTAATAAATAAAATAATCCATAATTATTTACCTTCAGCCCACTAGCCTCAATCAAATTAGGTTGGCCCTTCATAAGAAAAAGTTTGTGCACCCCTGATCAAAAGTTTATATTGCTCAAAAAAAAAAAGTTGTCTATGCTTAAGTAATGCCCCTGCACTAAACATTTTATTATTTCATAAACAAACATATGAAATGAGTCCTGGAGCAATACAGAAAAGTAATAGGTCAAAAGCTAAGTATCTCTTGAGTATATGTTAGGATTTAAGATGCTGATGATCGTTAAACATGTCTTAACAGTCTTGTGAAAAGGGTCCAGTGTCTCCAAATGCATTCATTTAAAAAAAAAAAGTTTATTTATTTTTTAATATGTTGCTGTATTGTCATGTTGCTGTAAACAATATGCTACCTGAGGCTATATAGCAATTTTCATCCCAACATCAGAGGTTTAAAGCAATCCTAACCTCTTAACTGTGCTGAAAAGGCTTTAACTCTGTCTCTGGTGGCTTATTGCTTTACTTCAATATCGCTGGACTAATGCAATATACCTTGTTACAGATTATCATTGTGCAGTTTGGAGGGAAGCCGTTCTCCTGCACTGCCCTCACTATCGACCAGTGGCTCTGGTGCATCTTCATTGGAGTCGGCGAGCTGCTCTGGGGCCAGGTAATGCAGAATCTTTACAGTGTGCTTATCAACAACCTCTGTTGAGAGAGAAAACAGAGTAGAACTCAAACTAGCCTGTTAGACGAGCACATTTACAGATGACAAAGTGAGAAAGAGAGAGCTCAGTGGTGGAATAATAAAAACATCACAGCAGAATGCACACGCGTGGGTGATGTGGAACATCTTTAGTTCTCTCTTCAATCCCACTGGGAGGGCAAGGGAGGGGGAGGTGAAGCTGTGTGCCATTTCAAACCTGTGGGAGGGAACGAGGGAGGCTGGCAGACGGCAACTTACTGCACAATTCCAGAGAGCGCTCGCCGCCATCTCAAAGTTCAGCTCAGAAATACAAGGAGCTTTATCTTCAACCCGGAAGCCTGCTCTGCCTCCATATATTCATGCTTGTGGTACATGCAGAACTCTTGTCTGCATCTTCTTGGGTCGTCAAAAGGCCAGGGAAGTTATCAAGTATGGATAAAGCCTCGAAAGCTGCAATCTTTCTGCTTCTACAAGCACTTGCATTACACATAAGCCACTTCCTACTGGCTTTCTCAGCTGCTGTTTGTGCATGCGAAAATTTTTTGGCCTCTCCAACCTTATGCTGGGAACTTAAACATGAAGGTGAAGCGGCATGCATTCTGTCTGCTATGTACTGAGTTGTTTCACTGATGTCCCATTTTAAACAGCAACACTTACAGAGAGGATTTCAAAGTAGAAACTATCTAACTAGAAACTAAGCTATGATTGGTGGTGGAGAGTGACAAGTGTGTTTGTGCATGTGTGTTAGAAATAATAATAGTTTTATGAATTTTAAGATGGTAAATTGCTGTGAAGCTTCTGTTTAAAGAAGCACTTCACTGCAGGCAAGTTGCTGTTAAATGGATTTGATCTACGCTTAAAGGGCACATATTTTAGCCCTTTTTTGAGATTTAATAGTAATATTATGGTTCTTCTGAGTGTGCCAATGTAGGTTCAGATCAAAACGCAATTCAGATATGGTTATTATGCTGTGTTAAAAAGTGTAAATTTAGAGGCGTGTACACGGGTTGCTGTTTTGGGGTGTGTTGTTTAACATGATAATGAGTTTCGACTGCCCGCCCAACGTAACAAGGGGGCGGAGCCAAGAGCGCGTCTGCTTTGTGCACCGCGTCACAGAGGCAGACAGTAAGAGTCATCATGAGTGAGAGGAACACAATTCAACCCTACATATATGACACAGACTCGGACACAGATCAAGCAGAGTCGACTGTTGAGGAATCTATAATCCGAATGTGCCAGAATGTGTCAGAGTGGTACATACAAAATATTTGATGTCGTTGTATACTTTTTCAGCCGCTATGTAACTATGCATGCGCCATCCGTAATTTGTTTGATAAAGTTCGCGAACGTCATGCGTTACGTCAAACAGACAATACATAAAGATATCCACAAAGATAAATTTTGCATTGGTATGATTTATTCGTAATTCATGAATATTGACGTTGACAAATATTGGCAGGTGCTTGTGTGGCAGTTGTGAAAAAATGCCAACTGAGGCTGAAAATGTATGCTGCAGGGAGATACCGCAGGTAAATTTCCAGTTTACGTTGCTGCTCTAAAGACATCGAATGAGATAATAAACAGCATAACTGTGTCGTGTAATAAGGTTAGAAGACGAATGGATCAACTGGAAATGCAACTCTCGTGCATGACGGAGCATCCAGGAATGGATCCCGTTTGCTTCAATATTTATTCCTTGCAAAATGCATCGAATATATACAAAGCAGACTATGGTCCCCTGCGACTTCGTGGAGTGCAAAAGTGAGTTTAAATAAATAGAAAGAATAGCAGGTTACCTTGTTCATGATCTGCATGCTCGCTTTTTTTTTAAGCACATTAATGCTGTGTAGTCAATAAAATAGCGATAAAGTTGGTTTTATATCCGCACATTCAGGAGTCCCTGTATTGTTTACCATGGTAGTTTAAACAATCGATCGGATTTAGCATGCAAGTATGACTTGTAAACAACATTAACACTATCTACTTGACTGTAAACAATGTTGTACTTTGTCATTTGCTGCTAATACGATTTCCCTATTTTGAATTTGCAAAGAATACTTTACAGAAATGATACTATTAAGGAGAATGTCCGAATATCTGAATATAAAACCAACTTTACCTCAATGTCAATAAAAATGAAATACGTACCTTTTTTATTGCTGCTATTTCTGAGATGACAATTTGAATGACTCCATAAAAGGCTGAGTAATGCATGTACTTTTTATTGAAAAATAATTTTAAGTTCACTAAACATTAATATATAAACTCTTAAAATATATAAAAATCAGTATGGCATAGAAACATCAACCCTTCAGAAAAGATGCTTCAATTCCTTAGTCATATAAAAACTTTATATTGAAGTATAAATTAAAATGTGATTGGCAAATATAAAATATAAACTCCAAGTTGTCACTTTGTTGAATGAAATACAATTGTCCATGAACATTAGAAAGTACAGTATATCTACAAACACATACAAACATATCAAACATTGGCAGTTGAATAAACAAAGTATGACTTCTGAAATTTTGTTAAAGCTAGTTATTTTATCAAAAATGTATACGTGATAACTCCCAAGTTCAAATTGTAGTGCAATTTCTAAAACAATGTTTCATTATTATGTCTCTGTTAGACAGTGCCGCTTTTTGGCTTATCGGAGCTTTGCGAGCTGGTGTTGGGGTTTCCTCGGGCGGAGAGTCCGTGTTGTGATTCCTGCCTGTGTGGTGCTGAAGATTCGGAGACAGTTTCCTGAAGAGCAGGGCAGCTATGTGGGTTTTAGGATAGCTATTGATTGAAGCGGGTCACCCTGCTGGAGATAGCCTCCTCCATCTCAGGTCGATCGTAGGCTGATGATAGAGCAGGTGGTATGTGAATTCCCAACACTTCATCAACATAGGGTGATGGGTCCACAAACACTTGGTTGAAGATGAGGTCCAGCAGCTCTTCTACATAACCTGTGCAATATAACAGTTCTCTCTTTAGTAACTTAATTTTGTATTTTGAGTAGTGAGTTGTCATTGTGAATGTAAAGTGCAATTATTTTTTTTATTTATTGAATTATTAAAAATACTATAAACATTTATATACATACCGAAAGTTTGCTGCGTCTTCACTTTTCGGACCCTATACTCTCCTTTCTTTGCCTTTGGAAAGGCAAGCTTGTAAATAGGTTTACCAGTTGCTGATGTGGCCTGGGGACGCCCGGCATTTTCATTGTAATGCAGTGCAGCCAAGTACAACCTAACAAAAAGAAAAATGTAAATGACGTACCATGACAAGACTGTATGGTATTGTAAATATTAATTTCTGATCATTGGCTTTACCTGCATAGCATCCCCAGAAATGGGAATACCACATTTTTGGGTGCAAACCGCAGTAGGACGCTGTGGAAAGCTTCAACAGTTGACGTCTGGTGGTGAGGACTTAGCTTGGCCACATCCTTCAATATTCTCTTGTTAGCGAGAACTTTCTCCAGCTTGTAGAATGGCATCGTTGCTAAACAAGCAAAAATTTAAGGTATTAGAGTCTGAATCAAAAACAAATCTGAACAAAGAAACAAGCTCTGTTTTGCATTAGTTTTAATCGCAAAGAATATTTTATTTGTCTGTATACAACTTACCAGCCGACAGCCATTTGTTCTTGTCTCTGCTTATCCGTTGCGGATGCAGATAAGCCGGAAAATTGGGGTCTTCATGTACATGGTTTAAGATAGAGGTCTACTTTGCCACTCTTTCAGGACCTGTTGTGGATGATGCAGCAGTCCAGTAGATGTGGTTTTTGATGCTACGCAACCATTTACGCAACTTCTCACACCCCTTTATCTGGCATATCTTGTCCAGTTTTTTGGAAATTCCTAGAAATTAAAGAAAAAAAAAGACATCAACACAAAAATAATAATAAACATGTAAGAACTGTAAATAGCAATTTAATCTTAAGTAAATTAATAACTGCTAAATTACATACCTTTCTCGATATGCCACACATCGTAAAACTGAGTGACATTTCGATCCCTGAGATATTTCTGTATTTGAGGATGTCGGTCTGTGATGATGCATTCCAGACGAACACCGCGGGCATCCAACAGGTCAAGGCTTCTCTTTAGGCCTTCTTTTTCCATATGGTAACTGCCGCCCACCTCATTACTCTATAAAATTTTAAATAAGGTAAAAAAATATATATAAAAATCACACATTTTCCATCCAAAATATTATGCTAGTTCACATAACACTTTTCTGTATTACCTGGACTAACTGTAGGTCGACCACTGTGTTAGTTGCAAGGTCCATCATTGTATAACTCCCATACTTGGCCGAGTGACCTAATTATTTTAAACACATTTTTGGAATAATTGTAATGTATTTCATATTTATTTTTTTATTAGACTGTATTGAATTAGAAATTAAATCTTTTGACTAAATACCTGGGGAGTCAGCCCTCTTATCTCCTCCAACAATCACATTCTCTCTTCGACTGAGCTGTTCTAGCATTTCACTCTGCCAATTTCTCCACTTGTGGACAATAGCAGGTTCAATGCAAAGTCTTGCATGACGGCGAAATGAATCATATTTAAAAATGTGTAGTTTCATGGCAGCAAATACCTGACAACAGAGAGGAGAATTTTTAGTACAATGTGCATGCACCCTGTGACAAAATTTATATTATGTTTCTAAAAGAAATGTGATAAATTTTGATAGATAATTACCTTTTCAACTACAAAAAATTATGCACCACTCAAGTAGACTGCAGCAGAAAGATGCAGGTTGCCAGCTGGAGTACTACCAATAATTGGCTGACTGTTCCATTTTCTTACAAACTCGCAGTGTGGGCAGACTTGCTGTACGCTCAGAAATGTCCCAAGCCTTTGTGACTTTACATCACATCTCCTTTGACACACTGGGCAGTCACTGAAGAGCTCCATGAGGCATGTTTCATAGACAATGAACTTGGCAATGTTATGAACTGGGCATTCTTGGATTCTGTAAAAATAAATATACACATGTACATAATAAAAAAAATGATGATGAATGTTATGATGACAATACACAATCTTTCAAATAATTTACATAATGCATAAACTCACGACAAGTCTGTTGGTTCAGTTGCAGATGTGCATTCCTCTGCAGGGTCAAATCTCACATCCGAGTCTTGGGCTATAATTTTTGACTCTGTCAAAGTCTCTTCGGCTTCTTCTTCTTCCTCCTCCTCCTCCAGCTCCAGACGAGGTCTTTTTTGTGAAGGTTTGAGGGGTGTCGAAGTCATAAACGCAGTAGAGGACGCTGATGGTACAGTCAGTTCAAAACTGGATACTGTTGTCTGGACACCTATAGTGTAATTTTATGATTAATCTCATTGCACGTTTATGAAGATAATAAAACACGTTTCTAATGCAGCAACTTAAAATAAACTGAGAAATTTTAACTTACTTGTACTCCTGCATTTAGCCTGAAGCGTCCTAAAAGACAACTGGGTACCAACACTGTGTAAAGATGTGTGAAATGGTTCTGTCTGGCAACAAACATCCACCTTGTTGCTCTTTGTCGACGTCGTGGCCTTTGTAAGAAAACATAAATTTTTTTAAATGACCTTTATTTGATTAAAACATACCGATCTTTTTGTAAACAACTGCAGACCACGTGCAAGTACAGTGAAAAAATTTCAACAAAAATCCCACATACAAAACAAACTTTAGCTGTAACTTAGTCAGTGGTAATGCTTTATTACAATGTTTCATTTTTTCTACCGTTTCTGTTTCTGATGGCTAAAACCCCTTTATGGACACATTAACAATTAAAGCTTCGAGTATTTAGACTGTTTTAGAAAAGCACAATAGCTGTAAATGCGCAAACATCCGAAGTAGCTTTAGCCGCAGATGCTATTAATTTCAGCTTAACATTACAGTATACACATTACAACAAACATCCCACATAAACAACAAACTTTAGCTGTAGCCAGTACTGGGGTCCGTTCTTCGTACGTAGATTACTCAGTTAGCTGGATTTGGATATTGACGATTTGACATGATCCAGGATCGTTTCGTTCTTCAAAGCTGATCCGAGAGTTGTTGTCATAGCAACAGTTCTGCTAGGTCAAACCTGATCGGAAGCAGGTTCAATTTATATAAACAGGATTAGATCGGGTCAGTTCAAGCAAAGATAATACAGAAAGTATGTTCTGAATTCTGATATTTTCTTACAGTAGTAGTTATATACACTTGGGAAAATGGTACATATTTTTTAACTATATATATAAAGTTATAGTCATTAATAAAATAAATAGTTATACATATTAATAAAACGTATGCAATCTGCACCCTCGAAATGAAAGTACAAAGACTGCCATCTGGTGCAAAGAGAAAACTTATTGATATGAACTTTTTAGATCGCTTTAGTACAAATTGTGTATAATAGAAATGCAATATGTGACTTTTTTTTAAAGCAATAATACATTTATGCAGTCATAAACATGTTTTGATAGTTAATATGCCAGTGATTTGATGCTTCACAAAAGTTGCAGACGCCTTTACCAATATCAAAATGCTTTTGTAAACAACCAGTTATTCTTTACACCGATTAAAAACCGGATACTATTATAAAAAAAATCTTTTCTAAATGTAGAACTAAATACATTGATTTGCATTGAAATACATGATGAATACTCTTGACACATGTAAAGCCTGCAGCTCACAACAAATGTGGAAGGTTATTGCATGTCATATTTAACAAACCGTTTGCTGCTAATTTGATGTAATTTTGCTCACATGGATAATTGAATATTAATCAGATGATGTCATTACGCTGCTGTGCCGTCAGCCAAGCGTTGCATTGCTGATCATGATTTCGAGGATCGATAGATCTGTCCTTCATAACACACGCAGCGATCTCAGATCAGTTCATCCAGACATTCTAATCTGATTCGCGAACTTGTTTGAAGAACCAAATTAGCGAGAGATCAGTTATCAAGATTAAAAGATCCAGGATCTGCTAAATAATCTTAGATCATTTAAGCGAGGTACGAAGAACGGACCCCTGGTTACTGCTTTATTACAATGTTTATATTTTTCTACGGTTTCTGTTTCTAATGGCTAAAAGCCCTTCTTGTACACACTAACAGTTACCACTTATAGCTTCGATTATTTAGATTGTTTTAGAAAAGCATAATAGCAGTGAACACGTGCAAATAAACATCCGAAGCAACTTTGGCTGCTTTTAACTTTTAGATGCTATTCATTTCGGCTTACCATTACAGTACAACAAACATTTAACAACAACAAACTTTAGCTGTAGCCAGTGGTACTGCTTTTTACAATGTTGCTATTTTTCTACGGTTTCTGTTTCTAATGGCTAAACCCCCTTCATGCACACACTACCATTTGCAGCTTCGAGTATTTAGACTGTTTTTGAAAAGCACAATAAGAGGTAAACACGTGCAAACAAACATCCGAAGCTACTTTAGCCGCAGATGCTATTCATCGGCTTATCATAATTAGAATGCTAAGGCTAGAAGTACATAAAATGTAATACTTACTTGAAGTGAGGCAGGATCACGTATTGTAGGAACTGATCCAGTTTTCAAAAACAATTTACTCGCGAATCCGCAGTTGTATTGTCCCGCGTTCTCGAGGCAGTCTACGCTAAAGTGGTTAGCGCAAACATACAACAGTTTTAGTACATTTTCAGGCACCTTGTCTTCAAAGATAAAACTCAGCCACTTAAGCCTCTGTTGCTCATTTGCAGGAAGACGGTGAAGGCTCTTGTGCTGAGCCTTACGTCCTAAAATAGCACAAGGGTGTTCTCTTGGTGGCATCGCTTCGACGTACACGCTGATAATGGCGGAAACGGCAAACTCAGGATATGTTAATACGCGCAGCTGTCAATCAATTCGGTGGGCGGGGGGAATCGCACACCTACGTAATGGTGCGATCGATTTGAAAACAGCTCCAATTGGCCGACCCTTTTTTTTGTAGTTAAATTGAAAAAAAAGGACTGGGTGTGTTCATATCACCCCAGTATGATGGTCTATACACTATACCAACACACAGATCTGTCCAAACAGCTTGAAAAGAAGATTTTTTACAATAGGTGCCCTTTAAATCACGCTGGGCGAAATGTATACCGGCGTAATGTATTTGGAATCCACAGCATCCATCTGTAACAAAAATGAAGATCTCAGTCAGAGTGACAGAGAAAAATGACACATTTATAAGGATTCAACTAATAAAACGCCCACGTTTTTATAACTGAATTACAAAAGCAGTTAACTAACAGCAGGAATTTGAATACAAATAATTTTGTGAAACATTATTGCAATTTGAAATGATGGTTTTGTATTTTAATCTAATTTCAAAGCTGGATTTATTTCTGTGGTGGCACTCTTCAGTGTCAGTTCAGTTTAGTGGGGTTTTGGGATGTAAAATTTTGTGATGTTATAGGGCTCTATTTTAAATATCTAGGTGCAGTCTAAAATGCATGGCGCAAAAGCACAAAGGGCTTATCTGAATCCACTTGGTCTAACAGGGTTGTGCTTTTTCTCCTAATGAGTTATAGGTTTGTTTTGAGCATAACATGGATTAAACCAATAAGAGTCTAATCTCCTATTAGAAGTCCTTTTAATAGTCAGTTGCATCACGCCATGGCACATTTGCTATTTACTTTGTGGACTTTGTAATTAGAAAAATTGAATGCTTTACTAGCGAGAAAATGGTTAAACAGATCATCTGCTATACGATGATGAAGAACGAGCCTTCAAGATTCCACCTCTTTATTTTCTCTTTAGTTTTCTTTTACTCTTTGCTCCTTTACTTTTGTGGAGTAAGGAAATGGTGTTGTATGCCAAAGACATACATTAGCCGACATATTTAATTTTAAGTGCAAAGATTTGTTTTAAAACTATTTTTTAAATTCATTTGTAATATCCAGCAAATGAATAAATGGACAATAATAACAAAGTATGTGAGTTATATCCAAACACACGTCCTATTCTTATGCCCGATATGGTGATGCATACATCTTCAAAACCCGACAGGTGGACAAATCTAAATTTGTTTTTAATAAAACAAATATAAATATGCACATTAATAATAATTTTGCTCGCAATAATAACATTATAAGTAAGCCAATGGTCATAAATAAAACTGAAAAAAGCCCCGAGGTGATGAAGGCATGGAGGTAGTAGTTTTTATTGATGTAGAAAATAATAATTTTTGTAACATTTTTTAATATTTTTTTTTTCACATGTAAAGATATTTGTGTATTGCTGTCCATCCTGTGTGTAATAAGCAGGCCTGGCCCTGACCAATTTGGCACCCTAGGCAAGATTTTAGGAGGAGCCCCGTCACATCGCAGTAAATTCCACTGCCAGTGTACATATAGTCATAAGAAACTAAATAGCTTTATCGACTACTGCAAGCCGGGAAAATGTAATTAACGTTATTGCTGAATAGATCTAATATTTACACATTGGCTTGAGGAAGGAATGATGGGGGTAGTTGCATTATTATTACTATTTTCTGTAACATCTATAACATTTATAACATGTAACATTAGCTGATGTTAAAACTAACAGATAGCACTATAGCTATTTATTGACTAGCAGTCTGTCATCGTTGGGATGTAAAAAATATGGGACAACAAATAGCTTCAAATAATAGAATACACTGCAAACATTAGAAAATCTTGACAATAAAATAAAAGGTTTAGCCTATTAAAATCAATGGCCTATCCAGAAATTAAATAAAGCATTAAAATCTACTTCACTTTTAATTGTATTTGCATATTGACTAAAGTTACTATAGTTAAATTTAGTGAAGAGCAGCAAATGAATCTCTCATTGTGTTTTGTTTGATAACAGAGGTGTCACTTTAAGACTGCACAGATCTATAATGAAAGCATTCGACTACTTTAATAACTGTTTGTGCTAATTTAAGAGAAAATTAGTTGTGATTAAAATAAAACACGCAGAAGGGACATGTTTACATATTTTTAAGGGTATTTGTGTTTAAACACTCACCCGAATCACCAAAGTATCGCTAACTTAGCTTAGTTAAGTTGGTTTTGTTTTCGATATTCCTGACACATTCAGTGATAGACGGCAATATCTCAAAAACCTCTTACCTTAAAAAGATCTAAAGTGTGTTTCCTACAAAAAGACAAAGCTGGTTATGTTTCACAGCTGTCTTTTTCTTCTTCTTTTTTTTCGCTCAACATTGCGACCACTGCTTAGTTTAAGCCC